GGGCAACTCCGAGCACAGTTAAAGTCGTAATTAATATTAAGAGCGGATAAAGACTGGAGTAACAATAACTATGAATAATAGTATAAACCAAGGCAACGCCGGGTTCTACAGCTGGTTGTAATTATGTTTATAATATACAAATATATATATAAGATGTTGACTAAGCTTAACATGTCAACCTTAACAAAGAAATGATTAAAGAAATTTGTCAGGTTAATGGATCAGTCACAAACTAAACTAAACATATTGCAGGGGGCAAATAATAAAATAAATAAATAGCCATGAATATTCGGGAACAGTTTTAAAGAGTTCCATATAATCATTTAATTAAAACTGAATATCTGCAACATTCCATTATCAGAAAGTGAAGAATATGACATTTGATGAATTCCTTCGATGTATTCGTTATTAAGGGTTTCACTGTAAGTTACAGGAATTTGAATTTTGGGCCGGGTTGTGAACAGCATACAACAATCCATGCCTATAACACTATAAAATCAAAACTCTCTTTCATAATTCACAAAATATTAAGAATCTTTATATACAATATTATAAGCACATATGTGTAACTGTACACTGAACAAAATCCAGAAAAGAAAACACCCAAAGACGACTTACATAATTGCCAGGGTTTTGATTTATTTTATTTTCAATTGAATTATAGATCTGTTTGACCCGAAACAGAAATTGGTATATTTGAAGATCACATATATCATGATTTATGATTTATATTCTTTGATTCTCTTTCTAATACTCTCTGATACTTTCTGATAATCTCTGATACTCTCTGATACTCTCTGATTCTCTCTGATACTCTCTGATACTCTCTGATACTCTCTGATACTCTCTGATACTCTCTGATACTCTCTGATACTCTCTGATACTCTCTAATACTCTATGATACTCTTTGATACTCTATGATACTCTTTGATACTCTATGATACTCTTTGATACTCTATTATACTCTTCGATAATCTATGATACTCTATGATACTCTTTGATACTCTCTGATATCTTCGATAATCTATGATACTCTTTGGCACTCTTTGATTCTCTCTGATACTCTCTGATACTCTATGATACTCTTTGACACTCTTTGGTACTCTTTGATAGTCTATGATACTCAATGATACTCTTTGATGTTCTATGATACTCTTCGATAATCTATGATACTCTATGATACTCAATGATACTCTTTGATACTCTCTGATACTCTTTGATGCTCTCTGATACTCTTTGATACTCTATGATACTCTTTGATACTCTTCAATATTGTTCTGAAACCATTTTCTCGATAATGAATCTTTTCAAAATATCGATATATGATTCAGCTTAATCTAAAAATATCATGTTAAAAATGTCTCTTTTAATGAAGATGAATTAGAAAATCAATCATAAGGAGGTTTAGATTCAAACTTTTCCTTCCTCAACTCAGTATTTAAGATATTCTTCATATTTTTTTTCATTTCTAGCTCAGTTAGAGTAGTTTGAAATGGAGAGAAAATTTGCCTTAAAAAATTGTGGATTAGGTATAAAGCATTAAAGTAATCTTTAATGTATCGTAGTTTTATAAGTAGCTTTAAAATTAGATTAATGAATAAAACGGGTCTGTGTACACTACACAATTGCTCTGTTTTAAATTCACTCAACTATTTAAAATCATATTTGAGTCAAACAGTCGGCTTCTTATTTCACAATTGTATGTGCCCCATACATTGTATGTGCCACATGCATGTCGCGCCAAATATGGGTTTTTAGAGCCGAATAAAGTGATAAACAGAAAACTGTAGAATAGGATAACATCTTTGTCTTTTTAAGGAAAATAGCGAGTATTACTAGTGAGGTTACTAGAAAGTTATAAAATCACTTATTAAGAGAAATGTTTGTGTGTACACTGCACAATAAGGGTGAACGATTTTTCACAAATTTAAGAGGATTCAATTTCAACTAGTAAATACTAATGTATTTTCAACTAGTAAATACTAATGTATTTTCAACTAGTAAATACTAATGTATTTTCGCTAAAATCAAAATTAATTATCGCAAATGGACTGTTGTGATAAAAAGAGCAAGAGTGTTTTTTCTTCTTCTCAAAATATGTCGATATGGGCATCAAAAGATCCGTCCATCTTCCCAACCCATATTCAACGGAAAAAACCCGTTTTTCAAAATAATGAAAAATAGCCAAGTTGGAGCTGAAAAACTAGGAAAAACATTTGTCCACTTTAATGGTCCCAGATTGCATGTTTTTTGAATATTTTTAAACCATTTGCTGCCTTCAATTAGGCTCTGTAAAACGGATCTTTTGATACCAAAATCGACATAAATTTGAAAAAACTAAAATATTACTTGTATAACTGATATAGCCATTTGCGATGGTCAGTTTGATTTAATCGAAAAAAAATGCTTTTAGTAAATGCTGCTTAAATTTAAAAACACAGTAGTATTTACTTCTTGATTTTGTTTCATGAAAATGTTGCACCTTTACTGAACAATTGCCGTGTCTCATGTTCATTAAACAATATAAAGTAATAAATTAAGTAAAACAATCTAAGCTTCTTATTTTAGAGTTTTCTGGTTCTTAATGAGCGCTATAAACTTTTGAAACCTAAAAAGGCAAACGAATGTTATTTTTTGTTATCTAAAAATGACGATATTAGAAAATGATTGACCGAACAGAAAATTCTAGGTGTCAATAGTGTCTGTTCCGGAATCATCGGTGTGCGTATTCGAACAAAATAATTTAGTGACAATGTTCGAGAAAGGAAGTGAGTCTTTGTCACAAACTCTGATTTTCTAATCCCTTTATCTTTGGAATCTAATGTCGTAGACCTTTGATATTTCAAACTATGACTTCTGTTTGAAATATCAAAGGTGGGTTCCAAAGTTATAGGGATTAGAAAATCAGCGTTTGTGGCAAGGACTCAATTCCTTTATGATATACATCTGCAATTATACTCGTATGCTTTATAAATAAAGAAATAAACTCTAAACTCTAAATAATTTTTATTATACAACATTGAGATTTAAATATAGTAATTGAACGGTGGAAAATAAACAAGATTTATTTTATTGAGGAAGAAAAAACTGTACTTCATGCAAGAACACAGATCTTAAAAGCACACATGTTTAAACATACGTTTTTTTCAATTTGAAGGAAAACAACATATATTTATTGTTGAATTTTGTTAATGTTAAGGGAGATGAATGTAAGAATAAAAGTGAAAAAAGGATTTAAATCAATCAATCTTTCAACAAAAAGCTAAGACTTTGATTCCGACTAATCATGAAAACGCATAATTTTCTAATTCAATAACATAGCATTCACGTCGTGCATTATGTATAAAATATACTGATATATATATGTATATGTATATACATATATATATATATATATATATATATATATACATATATACAACTTTCTAAACTAAAAACTATACTGTATAAGCACATGTCAACCGAATGTATATATATAACTTATATATACAGTATATATATATCAAGGACCGTCGCATCAGATTATTTCAGTGATTCACAAAATTTGACACAGTAATGATATTGAGAAATGTGAATAATAATTTTAATTTTCAAAAACTTATTAAACTTTAGATATCATGATACACTTGAGAAATCAAGATTTTACAGGGTTTTTTGTTTTCAACCCCTATAAATTTTAAAGATACATTTGAATTACCAAAAAGTAATTATTACTAAAATTCTAATTAAAATCAAAATTTTCTTAATCATTTGTTTTTGATTATTTATTTATGAATACAATTTTAAAAAATAAGGAAATAAAACTTCCTTTTTGAAAGTCTTGCTTCCTTCAAGTTGGCAGTCCCCAATATTTCATTATTCGCGATCAAAAACTTAATTTTAAAAAGCAAGCAGGAAGTTCTTACAATATTTGTTTTGAACACAGTTGTAACAAATTATATAATTATTTTATAAGAATGTTGATCCCAAAAGTACAGTGATTACAAGAAAACAGCGGAATAATTGTAACATTTTTCTTTTCCTTTCTCATGAAATTCTAATTAGAAATTTGAAGTTTTAACTCTTTTTATTTCCATAAAAATGCACTGAATATACATTTAGGTAATAGGTCCGTTTAAAATTACAGAATTCCGATTTAAAATTTTGTAATAATTCGAACAAAGACGACAAAATTCCACGGTTGTCTGGTTTCCACTGTAATATAGTCAGATTATCCAAAATAGGGTAGTATCAAACTTTTCAGTATTGATTTTGAGAAGATTTTTAAATTTTTGATTCTCTGATATGCAATGTAGTCGATCATATACATGTATTTGCTTTTCTTATACTTGGATGAAAAATCAAAACTAGAGGAGCTCCGAGGTCACATGATCGTACAGGGTGTCCCAAAAAACATGGGAATTCAGTGACGAATTCTATATCGTCTTTTCAAATAATTCTTTGATTTAATATAGTGATACCTACTGAGAAAGCTGTAATCTGTAAGAGTTTCGTCTGCTATGTTTACATTTTGTTTGTTTATGTTTTGACTGCATACGGTTGTACTTAGTAAAACAAGAAAATTACAGTATACAAACAGAGTAAACTTGTCCGTATTCACTGTTCATCTGCGGAGACATTATAGACACATCTTTACAGTCTTTTACCCTTTTCATTAAATAAACTCTAGCAGACATAATAATATTATGGCTTTTGAAATTAGGTATTACAATGCTAATTCATAACAAAGACGATATCGAATTCGTCACTGAATTCCCATGTTTTTTGGGACACCCTGTACCATATTCTCTTGTAAGTTTAACCTTTTCCCTTTATCTAGATTGAAGTGACTATCTCTCTCTCGAAGCACAAAATTATAATTTTTTCTCCCAATCCTTTGTCTCCAATTTAAAAAAAAGTAATTGAAATATATATGATTATTAAAAATCAATATTTTCTTGTTTCATGTTTTAAAATCTAAATTCTAGTTCCATTGTTTTGACATCACAATTTTTAGATACAAATATTTCAGATTCCAAAATGTCTCCAAGAACCGGATTTAAACTTCTAGGACGAGGTAAATAAAACAAATATCAAACCGGAAACGTTCAGAAGGATTTTATATAAATTATCAATACAGAGGGATGGAAGAAACTATTTTCTTTTTAAAGACTGATAATACTTTCAAATAAAGTTGTAAATCGTCTTTTAATTTGATCAAAAAAGAGATACCTTTCATTAAAGAAGTCATAGATTTACAGAAATACAATAATAATTTAAGTTTTAAACGTAGATTTTGAACAAAGAAAAAGTTTTTTTTTTAAAGTTTGAAGATTTTTGTCTTTGGGTTATGAAGTAAAATTTAGAAAGCTGGAGAAAGCTCGAGTCTCTCTAGTGTCTACAGGAACCAAGATACAGAAAACAGTTCTATAATATTTTACATGTGATTAGTGATACAAACACAAGCGGAAATGCACAATGTTCACCATTCAATACTGTAGATGCAATACGCAGTACAATGTACATATATATACATTTACAAGGCCCATTGATACAAACAGTAATTATACAAAATTATACAAATCTTATCTCTGTACGTGATTACTGTCATTGGTTTTGTGATAACGAATAAATTAGCTGTTTTATTTAGTTTTCTCTACAAGTAATCAATATAATAGAATCATGTATTATGGAACTTTGCATAGTTTAATTACATTTTTAAAATTGTTAAAACAAATTATATTCAACAATATGTATGCACACTAAACTCAATTAATAACAAATAATGTATTATTTATTACTTTTTAATAATAACACCACTTCTAAAATTACTTGATTCGTACCGGTACTGCACTGCACTGCATACATTTATTCGTATAGTCCAGTCTGGACTACCCAGAGTAGAGTCGATCCAGCAAGTTTTATGCAACGAATACAGCCTGGCAAGATCACGATGTAATTACTAATAACTAGAAAATTATATTAATTACGGGGTTACCAAAACAAGTCAGACGCCTACACAAAATTAACTTGTAAAGCATTCCTTATACAAATTTTCAAACCAAAAATGTCATTATTATTTATCTTGCAGAGGCTGCAAGGTTGTTTGTAAACAACAGGAGTGTACTGCAGCCATCTCCAGTTCGATTCTTTCAGAAAATGACATTTACAGGTACGAACTACAAAGATAATGTTAAAAATATATATTTTATCTTTTTTATTTTTAAAACATTTTTTCAGCATGAGGGGAATATATTTTTGTAATTTTTTTTTTTGGGGGGGGGGAGATCGACTTCTGAAACTTAAAGTTAATAGGATAATGAAATTAGGATACAAATAAGAAAATTATGATTATGCTTATTTGTATAATAGAAGAAACAGGAGGATCTACTCCTGGTAACATGTCAATACTCTCACCATCAGTTAAAGAAATGGATCTTCAATCTGTAATCTTTCAACCAGAGGTAGGTCTAAACTCTACATTCTACACTTCTACACTCTACACTCAACACTTTACACTCTACACTCTACATTCTACACTCTACACTCTACACTCTACACTCTACACTCTACACTCTACACTCTACACTCTACACTCTACACTCTACACTCTATAACTTCTTCACTCTACACTCTACACTTTACACTCTACACTCTACACTCTACACTTCTACACTCTACACTCTACACTCTAGACTTTACACTCTACACTCTACTGCACTCTACACTCTACACTCTACACTCTACACTCTACACTCTACACTCTACACTCTACACTCTACACTCTACACTCTACGCTCTACACTCTACATCTATATGTTAAGGTTGTGATATTTGATAAAGACGGAACTCTTGTATGCTTTCATACAATGTGGAACTCATGGTGCGAACAACTGGCGTATAGGTAATTAAGCCACTTATTCGTTTACTAAAGAGTTGAGTTTTTTGCCACAAATTCTGATTTTCTAATCCTAATATCTTTGCGACCCGATTTTGTAGACCTTTGATACATTAAACTATAAATTCTTATAAGTAAGAGCAAAAATTATAGCCAAGCCAAGTGTTGAAGTATAAATATATCTAAAATATCTATATGTATAGAATGCTAAGTGTTGAGGTATACATATATCTAAAATATCTGTATGTATAGAATGCTAATTATTGAAGTATAAATATATCTAAAATATCTGTTTGTATAGAATGTCAAGTGTTGAAGTATAAATATATCTAAAATATCTGTTTGTATAGAATGGTTGAAGTATAAATATATCTAAAATATCTGTTTGTATAGAATGTCAAGTGTTGAAGTATAAATATATCTAAAATATCTGTTTGTATAGAATGCGTAGTGTTGAAGTATAAATAAATATATCTAAAATATCTGTTTGTATAGAATGCGTAGTGTAATGGAGAAGGATATGGATGATAGTGTTTATCAGCTTCTTGGATATGATAATGTGGCAAAAAAGGTGAAGTTATTTCTAATAATATTTTAATTTTTCAATTACATATTTATGACAATTACATGAACCAGTGCATGAACTATACTAGCTTGTAATATTCTTAAAGATTTTATTTAATATCTTTCATTTCGTTAATTTCATTACAATTCGTTCATTTTTTATCAATTCTTTCATTTTCTAACAATTCTTTCATTTTCTAACAATTCTTTCATTTTCTAACAGTTCGTTAAATTGATTACAATTCGGTGATTTCCTGACTAGTTGTGAATTTAATTAGAATTCGTTAATTTGGCTACAATTCGCTAGTTAATTTTCTTTAAATTGTTTATTTCCATACAATTCCGTTATTTTCCTACAATTCTGTAATTCACTTAAAATACGATTAATTAATTTATTTTATTACAATTTATTACAATTTATTGTTGTGTATTTCTCTAGAACTCGTTCATTGCCTTAAATTCGTAAAATTCAATACAATTTCAGTGTTTATATATATTATTCCTTCGTATTCTTTGTACTTCCTTAATTTATACCAGCATTTTGTGCAGAGGTCATTACAGTTCTTTAATTTCATTTCATTTCGTAAAATTCCATACAAATCGTTCATTATCTTAGATTGGTTAATTTCCTTAAAACTTATTTATTTCTCTACACTTCGTTTATTTCGTTCTCAATCTAACAATTTCATATAGTTCTAATTATTTTTCTACACTTCGTTTTTTTCGTTCTCAATCTAACAATTTCACATAGTTCTGTTAATTTCTCTACACTTCGTTTATTTCGTTCTCAATCTAACATAGTTCTGTTTATTTCTCTACACTTCGTTTATTTCGTTCTCAATCTAACAAGTTCACATAGTTCTGTTTATTTCTCTACACTTCGTTTATTTCGTTCTCAATCTAACAATTTCACATAGTTCTGTTTATTTCTCTACACATCGTTTATATCCTTCTCAATCTAACAAGTTCACATAGTTCTGTTTATTTCTCTACACATCGTTTATTTCGTTCTCAGTCTAACAAGTTCACATAGTTCTGTTTTGAATACTAGACCAAACAATTTCTCCTTCTTGACTGTTAACTTATTACACCAACTGCTCTTATCTCTAGGTAAGGATGGGACTCCTGGCAGAGAAGACCCACCCCTACATCAAGGAGAAGCTGGAGGAGCTCCTGGTCAAGGAGGGGTTCAGCTCCTGGGAGGCCAGGTAAATGGCTATTTATATAGGTCTAATCATCCAGGTGCAGCCATTCTCTATCTGCTTATACACCAATCTGCCATTAATTAAAATGGTTCATATTATATATAGTCATACATAACTCAAAGAAAAAGATCAAATAAATATTTTATCTACTAGCAGTCTGCTCGGCACTTCAAATTAACCGGAGTTTGTAGTGTTCTTGTTGGGGCCGGATATGGCGGTTTATATCGATTTTTGAAACCACTTATTGTCACAGTTTTTTAGATTCGTTTATTAAACAATCTTTTTAATACCGGAGGTAGTTTACCATAAATACCAAGAAATAGTTAAACTAAATATAGTTCGTTAAACAACTTCTCTTGTGTGGTCTCGGTCACAGGCCAGAGAGAGTTAGTTCAAGTGCAATTTCCCAAGCGGCAACTTGCCAAATCTGTCCTAGCCGCAGTAATCCGCCCTCATTGCAGACTGCGGCCTCTCAGAAGCCTAACATAACTTTTGGGAAGTTGTAGCCTGGGAAATTGCACATTTGGGAAGATAACTCTTGGGAAATTGTAACTTGTGAAGTCACCCTTGGGAAAATGCCTTTGGGAAAATACCAAACACCAGTTAAACCTATTCTCGGTATTCATTTTACACACACAAACATGAACAATTCCATGAAAAAATTTAAGAATGAAAAAGACGGAATTTTCCAAAGAAATGTGTTGTTTTCTATGGAACAGGATACATATAGTTTATTAAGAAATTACAATACTGAAAATGTTTAGGAATGTTGTTACTAAAACTTGGAAGGATACTCCAGAAAATATGCAGGTTGATTGTTTATATCATTTGGAGCGTAAATATTTCAAAAATTAATAGACTTTTAAATAATATTTAATTAATGTGTTAAAAATAAATGAAAACCCAAAAAAAATGTTTAATTCAATCAGGAAATTATTTTCACCAAATGTTCGTTAACATTTATCATCTTAACATTCAGTCGTTCTTTCTGTGAAATATATTTCAAGATTTTCGTTACTGATGTCGATTATTTTTTTCATACTAGGTATTCATATTTTAATTGTGATTGCTTAAACTTTTAGTCTTTTTTCTTTCTAGTTTCATTCAAATCATATAAATTACAATCAAACTTAAGACGAAAAAAGCTATACGCCCAAATTGTCTCAATTTTGCTTTAAATCGCCTCTAACTAAAATGTATTCTCAAAAACGCTCAAAAAATGTTATGATAACCACTGTCTTCACAAATACAATTAACTTTTTTGTTTGGCCATTTTTTTCTATTAGAAAGGTCAAAACAACCATGGAGAATTAGAACTCTGTTAAGTGATCGGTTATAAGAACGTTTTTCTAATTTCCGAACACTAAATCTTAATCTAAATGTTGTTTTTAGCAAGAAATGCTGAGCATTTTTGTTATAGTAGCGTCAGAGAGAGGAATTTTTCATTTTAATGCATAAAAAAGAACATTTGATTTGTTGAATTATATTCGAATTAAATATGATGATGAACTTATTACTGTACATAACGACTTAGCAACTCGAATTATAATATTTGCAATTTATTTTTTTATCAATTTCCTGAAAAACATGTTTAACATGAAATACTTAGACTTTTTGGAATTGATTTCTGTAATATCAAATATATAAAACATATTTTCTATAAATATTAAAGTAAATTTCTAAACCTAAAATCCAACCTTTGATGCAGTAATACAGAGTATAATCATATGCATCCTTGAAAACCTTCCTGGAAACAACGATGAGACTGTACACTTATTGACAGTAGGCAGGGCCTAGATTCATGAGAACTTTGAACCCTGATCTCATCTTTTTTCTTCATCTTTTTAACTCTTAACTGTTCAAAATTTTCCACTCGTAATACGTTCTGTTTATTATAATCCAATAAATATAATTACAAAATAGAACATATTGAATACGTTCTGTTTATTATAATCCAATAAATATAATTACAAAATAGAATACGTTCTGTTTATTATAATCCAATAAATATAATTACAAAATAGAACATGTTGAATACGTTCTGTTTATTATAATCCAATGAATAGAATTACAAAATCTACCATGCTGAATGTTGAATGATCAAACTACTTTTTTTTAATCTTTTCTTCAAATTATTTTCTTTTTTAAATTAAGATAAAAAGCACGGGTAATCTGCGTACTCTGTTCTCTCGTCTGAAAGAGAATAATATCAAGATTGCTATCTGTACTTCAGACTCCAGGTAGGATTGGAGAATAGGCAGAGGATATAGTTGGAGGACATAGAATACTTTTCATAGGGATAAACTATAAAATAGGAAGAATACATGATACTTTAGGTAGGTAGTAGAACAGGAAGAATACATGATACTCTAGGTAGGTAGTAGAATAGGAAGAATACAGGATACTCTAGGTAGGTAGTAGAATATGAAGAATACAGGATACTCTAGGTAGGTAGTAGAATAGGATGAATACATGATACTCTAGGTAGGTAGTAGAATAGGAAGAATACAGGATACTCTAGGGGTAGTAGAATATGAAGAATACAGGATACTCTAGGTAGGTAGTAGAATAGGATGAATACATGATACTCTAGGTAGGTAGTAGAATAGGAAGAATACAGGATACTCTAGGATGGTAGTAGAATAGGAAGAATACAGGATACTCTAGGTAGGTAGTAGAATAGGAAGAATACAGGATACTCTAGGTAGTTAGTAGAATAGGAAGAATACATGATACTCTAGGTAGTTAGTAGAATAGGAAGAATATAGGATACTCTAGGTAGCTAGTACAAAAGGAAGAATACAGAATAATCTAAGTAGGTCGTAGAGTAGGAAGAATACTAGATACTCTAGGTAGGTAGTAGAATAGGAAGAATACAGAATAATCTAGGTAGCTAGTACAATAGGAAGAATACAGTCTACTCTAGGTAGGTCGTAGAGCAGGAAGAATACAGGCTACTCTAGGTAGCTAGTACTATAGGAAGAATACAGGCTACTCTAGGTAGGCCGTAGAGTAGGAAGAATACAGATTAATCTAGGTAGGCAATGCAGTAGGGAGAATGCAGGATACTCTAGGTAGGTAGTGCAGTAGGGAAAATGCAGGATACTCTAGGTAGGAGTGCAGTAGGGAAAATTCAGGATACTCTAGGTAGGTAGTGAATTAGGAAGAATTCAGTATACTTTAGGTGGGTAGTGCAGTAGGGAGAATTCAGGATACTTTAGGTGGCTAGTAAAATAGAGAGAATACAAGATATTTAGGCAGGTAGTAAAATAGGGAGAATACAGGATATTTAGGCAGGTAGTAAAATAGAGAGAATACAAGATATTTAGGCAGGTAGTAAAATAGAGAGAATACAAGATATTTAGGTAGCTAGTAAAATAGGGAGAATACAAGATACTTTAGGCAGGTAGTTAAATAGGGAGAATACAAGATATTTAGGCAGGTAGTAAAATAGGGAGAATACAGGATACTTTAGGCAGGTAGTAAAATAAGTAAAATAAAAGATACTTTAGGCAGGTAGTAAAATAGGGAGAATACAAGATACTTTAGGCACATAGTAAAATAGGGAGAATACAAGATACTTTAGGCAGGTAGTAAAATAGGTAGAATACATGATGCTTTAGGCAGGTAGTAAAATAGGGAGAATACAAGATACTTTAGGCAGGTAGTAAAATAGAGAGAATACAAGATATTTAGGCAGGTAGTAAAATAGGGAGAATACAAGATACTTTAGGCAGGTAGTAAAATAGGTAGAATACAAGATACTTTAGGCAGGTAGTAAAATAGGTGGAATTCAGGATACTCCAGGTTGGTAGTAAAATTGGTAGAATACAAGATACTTTAAGCAGGTAGTAAAATTGGTGGAATTCAGGATACTCCAGGTTGGTAGAAAAATAGGTAAAATACAAGATACTTTAGGCAGGTAGTAAAATAGGTGGAATTCAGGATACTCCATGGTTGGTAGAAAAATAGGTAGTTCACTGTGCAATAAATAGAAATTCAATACATAGAGCAAACTAAACCTTTATAATTACAGGGAGGGAACCCAGGAGTTCCTGGAGCGAATGTCTCTAACTGATCTTGTTGATCTTGTTGTTTGTGGAGATGATCCTGAATCTATTTCTAAGCCTGATCCTCATAATGCCAGGTAGAGCCTATATGCTACATCTAGTCGGGCTGTGTGTGCCTGCATTTGAGATTTCATGTAAAAAGCCAATAGTCTAGAGTATAGTGGTAGGCGATTATATCAATACAATGAAAGCAACTTTCGATTTCAATTTTGATTTATATCAAGCTTATATACACATAAACATTTAAGAGAAGCTGTCATTTAATTTGTAATTCGAAAAAAGCTTGTTAACAATAAAAAATTAAATAAAAAGTTCTTTTTTTTTGTCTGATATTTAATTGCCTACTACCACTGTATGATAATTCTATCGTGAGACATGCAGTCAGAATGTTTGTTTAATGAATTTTGGGATCAAGTCTTGATCTTTTTCTTATGCGGAAATATGGAATGATTTCATTTATCTTCGATATCCTGTTGCAGTCATAACCTGCAGGGATAACTTTTATTGAGGGAAAGTGCCCGCATTGAATATGTGGGTGAAGAGTTCCTACGATACTTCGAAAAAAAGTTTGACCTATAAACAGCTGTCGGAATTAGACCAGGCTGCAGCCGCAGGATCTTTTGACCTATAAACAGCTATCAGAATTAGACCAGGCTGCAGCCGCAGGATCTTTTGACCTATAAACAGCTATCAGAATTAGACCAGGCTGGAGCCGCAGGATCTTTTGACCTATAAACAGCTATCAGAATTAGACCAGGCTGCAGCCGCAGGATCTTTTGACCTATAAACAGCTGTCGGAATTAGACCAAGCTGCAGCCGCTGGATCTTTTGACCCATAAACAGCTGTCGGAATTAGACCAGGCTGCAGCCGCGGGATCTTTTGACCTATAAACAGCTGTCGGAATTAGACCAGGCTGCAGCCGCAGGATCTTTTGACCTATAAACAGCTATTAGACCAGGCTGCAGCCGCGGGATCTTTTGACCTATAAACAGCTGTCGGAATTAGACCAGGCTGCAGCCGCAGGATCTTTTGACCTATAAACAGCTATCGGAATTAGACCAGGCTGCACCCGCAGGATCTTTTGAATGTTCAAACAAGTATGAGCTTCAGAATGAATTTTTATTTAATCAGTACTTCTTAGTCCTTCAAATGTTTTATTAAAACTAAGGAATTTTTATACCAAAAAGGTTAAAATTAGTCGCAAACTTTGGGATTTTAACGAAACCATAGCTAAGGCTTAACAATTAATATTTAAAGTAAGTGTTTCGACAGCAAACCAGCATTGTTTAATATTTTCATTTTATTAAAATCTGAAATTTTGGTTTAGATTTATCTGTGAGAAGTTGAATGCTCGTTTAAGTGATACAATAATGGTTGGAGATACCCCCGCTGATACAATTATGGGTCAGTCTGCTAACCTAGGGCTTACAATAGGTATTACATTTCCATGGTTATTTAGAAAACAGGAAAATTTCTGACATTAGGAATGTGATTTTTTCCTTTGCAGTTGAAGCATTTTCTGAAAATGAATTTACATGAAGGTTTTATTAAAATATTCTTTTGTTTAGGAGTTTTAACAGGAGTTGGGTCTGAGGCAGATTTATCACATGCAGATATCATCTTAAAAGATATCACACAGGTTTGTTATGTGAAATTGTAAACCATGATCAAGAGCTAGTTGGACATTCGTATATTTGGAAAGTTGCCACTAGGACTGGGCTTGTTCCTTTTTTAAATTGTTCGTTCCTTGTTCTATAACGAGGTCCTTCAGCTGGATCATTCGTTACTGATGCGTTCTTTTTCCTATCGTTCCATCCAAGTTCCGTTCCGTTCTTTGTGTCCTTGATGGAAAACAGTCACAGCCATTCGTTAACGGTGGATAATCGTTGTGGATAAAGCACGTTAACGATTTTTATCGTTCCTCGTTCTATACCAAGGGCCTTTTAGCAAAAATAGTCCATTACTTTTTATTATTTGAGCTAAATATATAAAACACTTACAAATTTGAAAACCCTTGAAAAAAATAATGTAATACATTTGTCACATATAACATTTGTAAAATATGAAATATTTTAGGGAAACTTTCTAACGTACTTTTTTTTTTTTTTAAACCCATTCTTCTCGCTTAGGTTAGATCTTCTTTTTTTATGTTAGGGTTATATTCCCTTTTAATTAGCTGGTCTCGAAAAGTTGGACTAGGATGATGTATTACATTTCACTATCTCATCTAAATCATTTAAACCTTTCATAACCCAATTTACCTGAGAACAAAATTCAGATTTAGAACGTTTTCCTGATCGTTAACGATTCAAGATCTTTTTTCAACCAATTACCGTTCGTTCTACGAGTTCGTTATTTTATAATTCATTCCAATATGTTGAAGCACGCGTGTTATGTGCATCTGTTCTTTTTTTAGAATGAAGGCATCGTTATCGATAATTTCGTTCGTTCCAGTAAAAAACTGTAGTTCCCCAGGAACGAGGCCTAGTCCCAGTTGCCACTTGGAAGTTATACCCTTGGAAAGTTGCCGCTTGGAAAAGTAGCTTTATGCATTTGTATTTGAAATGACGCAGGATTCAGGATTATACTGGTTATACTGGATACACGACACATATTTGTAAACTAGACTGCTTCAAATCCAGATTAATCCTGTATTATGTTCTTGGAAATATTGAAAATATTGACGTTCTATTATTTCTGTTAGAATACTTTTATTTAGAAGACATGCGCGCACTATTTTGATTACAAAAAGAGTTTTAATAAAATTAATCAATAGATTGATACTTTTAAAAGTTTCCTGAATGCTTTAATTTTCTTCAAATATTTCTTTTTAATTTTATTTTTTTTTTTTTACGCGTGAATTCTGGAGGAAAATGTGTGTTTATATGAACGATATCAACAACATCACGTTTTTCAGCATACTTAAAACATTTCAACTCACGTTTATAAGCATTTGCTATAAACATAACATTAACAACACGTTTATAATCATGATTTAAGCATGAACAGATACACACACATGATGTGTACATGAACAGATACACAAACATGATGTGTACATGAACAGATACACAAACATGATGTGAACATGAACAGATACACAAACATGATGTGTACATGAACAGATACACAAACATGATGTGAACATGAACAGATACAAACACATGATGTGAACATGAAAAGATACACAAACATGATGTGAACATGAACAGATTCACAAACATGATGTGAACATGAACAAATACACAAACATGATGTGAACATGAACAAATAAACAAATATGATGTGTACATTAACAGATACACAAACATGATGTGAACATGAACAAATACACAAACATGATGTGAACGTGAACAAATACACAAACATGATGTGAACATGAACAAATAAACAAACATGATGTGTACATAAACAGACACACAAACATGATGCGAACATGAACATAAAAATAACGTAGACATACTAAAGGATGCAAGCTCTCACGCAAAAATCAATCAGAATGTCGCCAATTACATCTTAAAAGCAAAAGCTAAAGTTCTTTAATGTCGACTGTCGACTTTTTTGCTACATAATTATGATGATAAACATAAATGTAAAATGAACATGAAATTGAACATGAACATAACATGAACATGAACATGAACATGAACATAAACATGAACATGAACATGAACATGAACATGAACATGAACATGAACATGAACATGAACATGAACATGAACATGATGAACATGAACATGGACATGGACATGGACATGAAAATAAACATAAATGTAAAATGAACATGAAATTGAACATGAACATAACATGATGAACATGAACATGAACATGAACATGAACATGAACATGAACATGAACATGAACATGAACATGAACATGAACATGAACATGATGAACATGAACATGGACATGGACATGGACATGAAAATAAGCATGAACATGAACATGAACAAAATCGTGAATACAAAACTATAACGAACATGATTCTAGGTTGTTGACTTGATAACTCCATCTAAGGAAGAACATCGAGAATCTCATAATGTGATGGTAAATTTATAACTTTCATTCAAACAAACTTGGAAATTCAAACAAACTTGCAAGTTTAACTATCAAACTACCAAACTATACAATTATCAAACTACTAAACTATCAAACTACGAAACTACGAAACAATCAAACTACCAAACTCCCAAACTACTAATCTCTAATTTTTAAATCCATATATCGTTGCAACTTGATGTCGTTGACCATGAAATTTAACCTATGTTTTCTGCTCTTGATCAAATAGTCAATATTAAATTTCGTAGGTTTTCACGTATTGCTATGCTTAAAAAATAAGAGGATTAAAAAATTAGAGTTTAGAGTTTAAACCACAACTATAAAAATGTATAAAGCTTTTTAACCCGCATAGTGATTGTTTCTTACAAAGCATCAACAATTTTAAGTAGACAAATTTGAAAATTTAAGTAAACATTTAAACAATTGATTGAAAAACTACCATATTAACTAATAAAAACTAAAAATAATAAAATCAACACTTAATATTTATTATTCAACATATCTTATCAACAAGTTAACTTTTGTTTACCAACTATTTCAATAAATCCAAGTAACCTGGCAACCCGAAAACCTAATTTACACAATGGCATACTTTATTCATTCTACAAGACATAAAAATAAAATTTTATTCATCGCAGAAACTGCTATAGATATTTTTTGTCAAAAAGTATTCGCGGGTTACTGGTGGTTTTTTCATGATAGACTCTAAACGTGTAAAAAATGACTTAATTAATTACATTAATTAATTACATCAATTAATTAAATATTATGTCAATCTAAAGTAAATTGCACTTAAAAGAGTGAAATCTTACATTTTTTGTTAATCTGTAACTACTTTCATTGAGAAACTTTAAATGTTTTAAATTTCTAATACGTCACTGTATTAATTTTCTTTTCTCATACGCGTGCTTAAAAAACAACTAGAGTAGCTACGAGGTCACAAAGCCGTTTTAATTATATTCGCGTAAAGGAAAGGAGTCTTTGGAACAAAATCAAATATTTAAGGGGAGATAGAAGTAAGATTAGTAGCGATCAAAAGCGCTTTTTATCGCATTAAGCCTATACCCCCTTTCATTTTTCGCGAACACTCCCTTTAAACCTCAATCTTTTTAGAACCCGATGTTGTAAACCTTTGAGATTTAAAACTCAGATTATTTGATCTAACAGAATTCATGGCTTGAAATATCTAGGGTCTGCAACATTTGGTTCCAAAGATATAGTGATTAGAAAATCAGAGTTTGTAGCAAAGACTCAATTTCTTAGACCGTCTCCTTCTGCCTGGTGCACAGCGACATAAAAAAGTACATAATTCATGTGTGTTTAGGTCACTGCTCGGGGGTTGAATAAGATTGCAGAGCGAAGCTGTTTTAGTTAAAATTCACTTTAATCAAAACTTTTCATTCACTGCTTATCCCGCGGATCAAATTGCATCTAATATTTATCTATTTATGTAAACATGCTTACATTGCGATTCACTTTTTTCGCACCTTCTCAAAATACAAATACCACATGAAAAATATTAACAAGCTTGAGGCATAAAGATTTGAAGTTAATACTCATAACTAAAATATCTTCTGTTTCTTTAAGATATTAAAACTTTTTAAATATTAGCTGAACGAATTGCCTTAAACTCTAAAACCAGGGATTCGAATATTTGAATTTGAGATATCAGTTGCATTACCTGACTTCGGTTTAATTCAAAACAATGTAGAAGAATATAATTAAACAGTTGACAATTACATTAGAAGAAATGTTTCCTTTAAAATCTCTGTATGATCATGATAGCCGCTAAACTATATCTGAAGGCACAATGTGATAAAATCTATTTTAAATGTGAATTTATACAGGACTACCCACAAAGGATGAAACTGTAAAGACGACCTTAATCCACTAAAATATAACCACAAGGTTAAATTAAGACTTTTGTCTTGAATATAGTCTTTTAATTTCTTATTTATTGATTCAAAAAAAAAAATTAACAAGTTTAAAGTTTTGCAGGGGTGCACCTTGAATAAAAGACAGACATTATAAATTCCCTACAGTCGTCTCTGAAGTCTTATCCTTTGTGGGTAACCCTGTATGTCTTTAAAAATGACTGTTAAACTTGAAAATTAATATTATTGGTCACAAATCATGCTTACATAACTGTCACATTTATTAATATGTTTTCTTTAAACGCGGGGAGAAGAACACGCGGTATTTATTTTGTACTATATTAGTGCTATACTAGTAAAATTATTACTTATATAAGTAAAATTATATTCAAAAGTATCATATTTAAATATATAAAATATATAATATATATGTTGATTTATTGTTTAGCAATTTTCTTGTAGTTAACTAAAATGAAAGTGAAGACAAGTTGACCTAGGTCCCAGTCAAATTCAAGAAAAATCATCCTGTGTCCGAATTTAAGGAATTTGAGTCGCGTCTTAAATCCACCAAAAACCGGTTTTTATTGAGCGCCGGCTTAACTCTTGAAACAATGAATACGATTTTAAGTGAAACCAACCATATTTGAGCCGCTGCTCAAATTCCTCAATTCGGCCTCTGATAAAGGAGCTTATCACTCCCTAACTAAATTTTGATAGCCGGATGTCTTGGCGGCAAATGCTTGATTTTACAGTTCTGGTAACTTGCTGAAACTAATATATTTTATGTTGGGAAAGGGTTTGCCGAGACTTGGATTTTCAAAAAAAAAATATTCCACAAAAAAAATCAATTTTAATTGGATATGTACTGTGTACATTAAACACATGTACAGTGTACAGTGGTTGATGTAAACAAAAATTTTACACATATCCTGTAATTCAATAATTGTCATGGAGGAACCTGGCTGTTTTTTGTTCGGAAAATGCGGAAAAATATTCTCTAGGATGGAGATTTTTTCCAGTACTCCAAGAATTATTTTGAGAACACTTCCATTGGAAAGGGAACCAAAAGCTTTAGTAAACCCCCGAGGCTTCCTTTAGAAATTTGGAATCTCTGTGATGAAATTTTGAATAATGAATCCATCCATGAACAACCAAACTGAACGATGGTTTAGAAGTTTTACAGCTGACCAGCCTGTAATACAGACTGCAGGGTAGTCCTTATTAGGTCTTTGGCTAAACTACTTTTTAAAGAGTTCAAAGACAAGACCTACACTGATCCGAAGCCAGCTCAATCGACAAGAATTCTTGAAAGAAATATACGATTTAAACTAATTGTAAATTCTTTTGATGTATGCAACTTAAGTTTTCTTTTACAAATAATAAATAATAAATTTTTTGTCAAATTATTAGTGTTATTCATTACTGTAATTTTCAGTTCATTCATATCAACACTAATATTGAACAGATTATGTTGTATAAAAAAGCAGCCCTGACAGCAGTTTCAGTAATTTGCCGCCAAGAAAAGGAGGTGAAACGTCCGGCTATCTAAATTTTCAGTTTGTATATCTAATATATTTGAAATATCAAAATCTTAAACCATCAGGATGCAAAGCAATGGGAAAGAGAAAATTATATCTAGTGACAAGTGTTTAATTCCTTGAATTTGAAAGAAAAATACCATAAACATGGTAGATATATCAGATCTAGAAATTTTTTAACTAACTTGAAATCAGAACTGTTGTGTTGTTCATCCCTATCAAACAACAAAGCTAAAATTTAGGAATCAAGCACTTATTCATCAAATTCAAAGACCACGTAATGAAATTGCAAAAAGAACGATAGAAAAATAGACCTGCATTATACTTACATCAGATCTTTAATATTAAAGGAATTGAGTCTTTGTCACAAACTCTGATTTTCTAATTCCTATATCTTTGCAGTCCAATGTTGTAGACATGTGACATTTCAAACTATGAATTCTGTTAGATCAAATAATATAAGTTTGAAATATCAAAGGTTTACGACATAGGGTTCAAAAGATGTAGGGATTAGAAAATCAGAATTTGTGGCAAGGACTCAATTCCTTAGTTTAGTGGCTTGTTTATACTTATTATTTTTTCATGAGAACATTTATGAAATATTTATAAATATAGGTTTAGAAATATAAATATAATTAACAGATGATAGATTTGTTAAGAGGTAAATAAAGTGAGTGTGAGAAGCCGGACCAGTTTAGAGATCCTTCCCGGGGTTCCTATTTATATTCCTTGGCCTCCAATCGATTCTGTCCTCAGACCATCGAAAGGAGGGGTGGGGGATTTCTGCAGAAACAATTTTTTATCATTAACTATCTCATCCTAATATTTTTGACAGAAAAAAGCTTGATTAAATTTAACAAAATAAATCTACAAAATATCGCATATTTCCAGGCAGTAAAGTAGTGGACTCGTATAGTCTGCAAAGGCTAAAGAATTGGTTTATATACTGCATTGTTTTCCTGCACACAGTTAAAAGAAAAATACGTAAACCCGAAGAGAAAAAATCAAAATGGCGATGGCTGCGTGTCCGGAGGAGGTTGATCAGATAATGCGCGCTTCTACAAGTAAAGATGGAAGCTGGGATAACACAGGTAATTTATAATATACACAATAAAAATCTTCATAGTCTTTATGAACCAAGCTGCGTTGTTTATAACATGTATGCAGAACGTCACACTTTTGTAGGTACATCTCAATTTGTGAACTGCGTTCTTTAAAGTTTGACCTCATTAGTGTTATCTTTAAAGTATGACCTTATTTGCGCATTTTCAACAGTATGTCCTTATAATAGTGAGTTCTCATAATTGTGTCCTCAATAGCGAGTTCTCATAAATGTGTCCTCAATAGTGCGTTATTTTTTATTGAGTTGTCAAAAGAACGTACTCATTATTAAGTTCTCAAAGTTGTGTCCCCAAAAGTGTTTTCTTAAAAGTATGTCCTCAATTTGCATCTTGAATATTTGTGCATCCAGAGGCCGATTTTAAAGAATTTGAGCCGCAGCTTAAATTTAAGCCGCGGCTTAAATATGGATGGTTCCACTTAAAATTGTATCAAATCTTTTAATGTTTAAGCCGGCGCTTAATTTAAACCGGGTTTTGGCGGATTTAAGCCGCGGCTCAAATTCTTTAAATTCGGTCTCTGATTAGATATTTTCCAACAGAGAAAGTTGTTAAATGTTGCAAGCTAGTGATTAAAAGGGCAGAAAAAGTCCCCTAAATTTCTTGTTTATATATTTTATATTTATTTATATATTTTTTCGTGTTACAAATTGTTCACTACTGCACTCAAACCTTCCAGGGTCGTTGTAATTTAAATTTAAATCCCTTATTCCCAATACACGTTATCTCATTAATAATGTAAGAAAGTAGACTGTAGATTACAAACAGTTTATTTTCCATCCTTAATTATAATTTTTCTGGCCCCATCAGGATAAGAAAACAAATTCGATTGATCCCTAGTCCGGGAATAGCTTAGTTACAGTATTGACAATCGAACTATAATGTACTAACTTGAGAACACAGTGTTGTCCAGGGTACTCTTAGTTACTCCCGCCGTTTACCCACGCTTGGTCGTAAATTACGATTTTAGGTATTTTTCCCTATACAAGTGGACCCACTCAACTTGGTATCTGAAACCAAAATAATAACTTTCCCGTCGTTCTGGCGAGTTCCCGAACCAAAATTTGAGGCAAAACGGTCAATGGGTTCATGAATTATGTTCGGACATACGAACAAACAAACAACTTTTTATACATAGAAATCTAGGCCATCATGTTGGGAGGGGGGGGGGGATCATCACTATAAAGTATTTATTTGAATTACGCTTAACTTGCGATATTACGAAGTCAAGATCTAAAAACAATAAACAAATCCAAAGACCGGAATAACGGGGTAAAGTTTTACCTCCATAGAAAAACACAGGAATCATAAAAATTAAGAGAAAAAAAAAACATTTCCCACAAACTTGAAATTAAAGTGTTCCTTTAAAATAAAAAACGGATAAAGACTAGGTTTCCATTTGTTTTGAGTTGAGGTATCAGTTTAAAATTAATTAACTCATTTAGGTTTAGACATATATGATATATCCCCTTTAGTTTGTCTTAACATTATCATCGGACCATATATATATTCACCCTAAAATATGATGAAGACAATTATGATAATTAGAAATATAAAAAATGAATAAATATATAAATAACTATATTTTGTTACTCAGATAACTATCCTGGGTCTGGTTCAGAGATATGGCCGGACTCGGATACTCTTAGGTATAAAAAGTATATTCTTACAGAACTTAAAACAATAGTATTTAGTTTTCTATTTTATTGCAAATTATTTATTTTTGGGCAGATTTTAACTCAAAATCTTATCTTCAAATTTAGGGAGAAACTGTGGGTTGATTCTTTGGGAGGGAGGGATACACAGTGGTCCAGTTGGGAGGACAATTCAGGTATTTGGTTGCACACCACAAAGTGGTCCTCTTTGGATGCCAAAACAGGTAATTGGTCGCAGAGCGGTCCACTAAGGAAACAAGATGATGACCTTTATAAATGTACCTATTTTCTTCATTGAGGACCATCTAACATTATAGATTATTACGTGTATTTATAAATATTTAAATAGTTGACCAATCCGTTTTCATCCAATAATATTATCATATATTTTTTATTTTTAGAAAGCAGTACAGTGTGTGATAACATATTTGAAATCATGAGATCAGGGTAAGATTAAAAATTTTAACTTTTTTGAAATTTGAAATTTAATGTTTATCTTTTCAAAAACAATTTTTTTAATAATCATATTGAAGAACCCTTTTCTTTCCTCCATTGTTTTCTAAATTCCGGACAATTTCAGAAACCTGGGTCAGGTTGAATACTTCTTTGAAAAGTACGGTATGGAATACAGTTTAGATCAAAGAGATGAATACGGGCATTCACCGCCACATTGGATGGCACTAAACGGTCACGCTACTATTGCAAGGTATGGATGAAAAAATAAAAAAAAATAAAAAAATAATTTAATAAAGGAAAGGAAGGTTGTATAAGAATGTTATTATAAAAGGAAATTTAGATTGGATGAATAGAAGGAAAAGGAGGAATAAAGCATGGATTTATGAAAGGAAATATAAGTTGGATGGATTAAAGGAAAAGGAGGAATAAAGCATGGATCTATGAAAGGAAATGATATGATAAATGGATGGCATGAAAGGAAAAAAGTAAGAATGGACTAATGAAATAAAATGAAAGGGTAAATGGATAGCAGGAAAGCAAGGATGTATAAGAATGGATTTATGAAAGGAAATAAAGGTTTGATGGATAGAAGGAAGGAAGGGATGTAAGTAAAATTAAATTTATGTAAGGAAATGTAGGGTGGATAAGGGATAAGGGAGAAAGAAAGGAAGGATAGAAGACTAAATGAGAGAATAAAAAGGAAAAGAATGGACAATAGAACTAGATACATGACACTAGTTTGTATTCTAAACCTTGTCTAACCCTGAATGTCTGAATTAGATATTTGATGGAGCGAGGAGGAAAGATTGACCTGCACAGCAACAATAGCCAGGGACCCCGCCCCATACATTGGGCCAGCAGGTACTATATGCAAATGACAAAAGAAACTTCTACTTCTAAGGATACAAATATTTTTTTTTAATCTGAAGCCTTGTTTCTAATATAAAGAGGGTCAAAGTTTTAGAATTATGGTTGTTCTTAATACACTATATGACGAAGAATATGTAATGTGTAAACAAAAATATTCGAAAATTCTCAAGACCAAAGAGACAATTGAGTATTGACTCCTTCAATTATTGAAATGGCCCCAAATCTGGAACTTTTAAATGCATTCAAAGGCTCTAAACTATAACCTTTTTTCTTGAACACCCTGTAATTATATATAAATGGACGGATTGGTTTAAATAGATAATTTTAAATTAGGAATGGACATGTAGCAGTTGTTGATCTGTTGCTAGAGGCTGGTGTTCCAGTTGATGCTACGGATCATAAGGTAGAATATATCTATATAAAAAAGCTCTTTGCTCAAATATATTCATGTATGTATGTATCTTCTTTATTACAAAGCTCTTCGCTCAAATATATTTATATTTTAGCTATAGCTGGCCAAAAGGCTGAACAAAATTGGCTGACATTTTTTAGAGAACCCTTGAGTTCCCCAAGGGTAAAAAAAGCTAAAAAATGTTTTTTTTAACCAAAATTTTTGTTTCTTCTGAATGGGAAAAAAATATTTCAAGTGTTTCTTAATTCCACGAGCAACGCTGGGCAATTAAGCTTATTAATTATTGTAATAACATGTATTTTTTAACAAAAAGCTCAATTATTGAAAACAAATATGTACCTTGTACATTGCACCAAAAATTGTAACGTCGCAGAAAAAAAAATATGTTAGTATACAGTCGTTGATCATGTAAACATAACGCCAATCGCCATCCTATATCATTGTAACATATAACACTTTAAACCAAAAAATTTAACTGTTTTTAACAAATTAATATTTAAATTATTTTTAAAAATATTAATCCACAGTAGAAAAGGCTCAAAATCTTGGCAGCCTATGTTTGTTACAAAAACGTGCTCTCTGTAGTTTTAACTCCTAAATAATCAAATCTTAAATTCTAATTTTTTTTCTCTCATCTGTTTTTAAAAGTTTCTTTTCGTTTTATTCTTAAAGAATTTGAATAACTTTTTCAAACATTCAAGAACATATTTATGCTTTACGACGCTTGATTAATTGCTTTTTAAAATTTATATATATAAAAGCTTTATGTTTACTTAGGTTTCAGTCCACCCACTCAACTAAGAATTTGTTTGTCAATCAAACTTTGAGACAAATCGGTCAGGGGGTTCAGACAAACAAATCGGTCAGGGGGTTCATGAGTTTTGACCTTTGATCAGACAAACAAATAGAGATTACTATTTGTATTGATATATACAGATATAAAATGATATTTGTTGACGGGTTATTAATTGATTGATTGGATCCCTGTATTAGGGTTTAACCCCGCTAATGATGGCCTGTATGTTTGGAAGATCAATGATTGCCGCGTATCTACTGGGTAAGGGTGCAGCCCCTCACCTCACAGGTAATAATAACAAACATTTACGTTTCTTTCTTTCTTAATTTCTCAGTTTCAGACATGAACGGAGACTCTGCACTACACTGGGCAGCGTACAAAGGATATCCAGGACTTATGCAGGTCAACTTAACATAAACTTCATAGTTAAAGGGACTGTAGATGTAATTACAAGTAATCTATAGTTAAAAAGGGGGCAACTTTTATCTGATAAAAAACATGTAAGATATTTTTGTTTTTCTAGATTTAAAAGTGTTTAATTCAGACACTTTACTCTATGCTAGGGAAACTGAAACAAAAAAGAGAAAATGCTGAAAATCGTATGAAATCTGAAAGAACTAAATACTTAAAGTAACCCCGAATTAGTTTTCTTCTAAAGCTACATCTTAACATTTGTTGTGCAATGTTTTTACTTTAGTAAAATTTAAAACTTTATTATTTTTAGAAACATTTATGAAATAAAAAATAACTGTTTAATTTTATGAAATATGTTTAGATGTTGATCTATTCTGGGTTTGACCCCCAGAAACCTGATAACTTTGGGTCATCTCCTCTCCACCTGGCCTGTATATCAGGCAACCTGTCAGCTGTTAAACTTCTCTGTGCAAAGGTACTGTCGTAGACATACTAAAACATTAAGTTAAGCTTTGAATTCTTATGATTTTAAAAATCTGCAAAATTTTACTTTTGTATTTTTGTTATTTGATGGAACCAAGGACACGTTAAAAATATCTTAATATCTATAATTTAGAAAATAGATTTTAAAATTTAAATTTTAGAATTGAAGATTGTTCATCTTATGACCTAATGTTTTTGTTTAATTTTATTTTCAAGATTGGCTTTATTTGAAATAATAAGTATATTCTAGAAAATAAGTATTTTTTAGTCCGTCCCTTTAAGATAAATCTATTTAGAACAGTGTAGACCTAGAACCACGAGACAGGAACAGGAAAACTCCGCTAGATTTAGCAGCTAAACATGGTCATCAGGTAATAAAATATTCAACCCATTAAAGGGACTGTACGCGTGAATTCCATTGACTTTTAATTCAAAGATGACATTGCCCGATTCGGAATTGAACCCTTATACGAGCTTTGACTGATCAAGATTGTCAGACTTAATTCTCATTAATCTCCGAAAACGCTTTAAATTATTGAACTCTTATTTGTAAGCTGCTTTATTAACTGTCTAGGATTGGCAGAAAATGAATATTTTGTCAAGTAACCTAAGTAAGGTATTAGCTGTTTTAATTCACATCTTCACACTGTACGAACTGTACACAGAGTATATTCCGGTTTACTTCAAGTGGTTTCCAAGATGTTTAAACAAAGAGCTCTCATCACTCGATGAACAATCAAAGGTTTAAAGGGTACCATTGTAAATCGGCACTGCCCTCTTTGCATGGAGGGTCACTGGAAATTACGCTTACAGTCCCTTTAAGGTTTTAAATTTACGATGGTAAACAGACGCAAAACTGGCCCTATTCTTGCAGTCTCTTTTTAAATAAAGATTTTTGACTACAGTGAAACCCTTAATAAGGAATACATCGGAAGAATTTATCAAATGTCGTCTTGACAATTTTTCAATGAGTTTTATACTATATTAAGTAAATTTCAGTTTTTGCGAAAATAAATAATAGCCATGAATATGCGGGAACAGTTTTAAAGAGTACCATATACTCATTTAATTAAAAAATTAAATATCTGCAACATTCCATTATCAGAAAGTAAAGAATACGCCATTTGATGAATTCTTTCGATGTAATCGTTATTAAAGGTTTCACTGTATATGTTAAATTATAAATATTGTATATGAAGTCTCTAAATAGCGAGCAATTTTTTAAACTTAAATAACGAATACAAACTTTGTTTAGGATATTCTAATCTTAACTTAATTAATACCATTCAAATATTATAAATTTGAAATAATTTTAAAAATATCTATTTCCAGGATATTATGAAGTTTCTTGAGAGCGAGAAAAGACGAAGAACAACTTTTCTACCAGTGTTTCTAGATATTTGGTAAATAATACTTTTATACCAGTGTTTCTAGATATCTGGTAAATAATACTTTTCTACCAGTGTTTCTAGATATCTGGTAAATAATACTTTTATACCAGTGTTTCTAGATATTTGGTAAATAATACTTTTCTGCCAGTGTTTCTAGATATTTGGTAAATAATACTTTTCTATCAGTGTTTCTAGATATATTGTAAATAATACTTTTCTACCAGTGTTTCTAGATATTTGGTAAATAATACTTTTCTACCAGTGTTTCTAGATATTTGGTAAATAATACTTTTCTACCAGTGCAGTGTTTCTAGATATTTGGTAAATAATACTTTTCTGCCAGTGTTTCTAGATATTTGGTAAATAATACTTTTCTGCCAGTGTTTCTAGATATTTGGTAAATAATACTTTTCTACCAGTGTTTCTAGATATTTGGTAAATTATACTTTTCTACCAGTTTTTCTAGATATTTGGTAAATAATACTTTTCTACCAGTGTTACTAGATATTTGGTAAATAATACTTTTCTACCAGTGTTTCTAGATATTTTGTAAATAATACTTTTCTACCAGTGTTTCTAGATATTTGGTAAATAATGCTTTTCTACCAGTGTTTCTAGATATTTGGTAAATAATACTTTTCTACCAGTGTTTCTAGATATTTGGTAAATAATACTTTTCTACCAGTGTTTCTAGATATTTGGTAAATAATACTTTTCTACCAGTGTTTCTAGATATTTTGTAAATAATACTTTTCTACCAGTGTTTCTAGATATTTGGTAAATAATACTTTTCTACCAGTGTTTCTAGATATTTGGTAAATAATACTTACTTCACTGCAGTAACAATTACCATTTTGCAGATTTAACTTTTTTATTTTTATAAATTCAAACCACTATTTGATCATTTGATTAAGCGAGTATTGAATGAAGAACACCATAAAAATAGAATGTTTAATCTTCCACTGGGAAAATAAGGAAACAAACTTTTAAATTGTAAATTAGAGCTCTATGAAACCTTTCCTACATATGTGATTTTTGTGTGAAATATATTTGACATTGTTATGATATCTGAGTAAAATTTGGCGGAGTAAGCAAAACCTAAATTGTGATGGTGGTAACTGTATTAATTTTGATGTGAATAGTGTTACAACAAATGTGTACCTACGTTTTTGGTTAAAGAATTATCTCCATTTAATAATTTTGAAATATATTATTATTCTAATTCAGCAACCATTTTTCTTCGCTGGATAAACCAATGGTAGCCAACAAATGACCACATATTTACAAGTTAAATTAATGTATTTGTTAACCAGGACGGTAGTGTTTGGTCAGAGTGGTAGAACTAAGGGTCCTCTTCTCTTCTTCCTTGGAAGTGTTCTACTCTGGGCTTATCCAATGTATTTTCTCAGGGTAAGTATCTATATATATATATATATATATAAAGTAGTAATTTTTGTCTGTCAGTTTGTATGTCTGATCATAACTCATAAAACCCTTTGACCGATTCGCTGGTCGTTTAGCATCCAAAAGTATTTATATATTTTTGATGACAATAAAATGTGTGTTATTTTTTCTAATATGTATTATTTATCAAATGAAATCATTTAAAGTGGTGCTTGAAATTTAAAGGAAATTAACATTTTTCACAACTTTAAATTTTTTCCAATTCCTTTTATGAAACACCAAAAAATAGCCGAATAAATACATTAAACAAACCTTTTAGTAGTCTGTATATTATATATCAGTGTGTGCCTGTGACCTGGGACCTGCTACCTGTGACCCACTACTCGTTTCTGACGGTCAACCTCATCATGTGGATCTCACTTATATTCTCAAACAGACGCAATCCAGGTTAAATAATTATAAGTTACAAAGGTTCTCTTTAAACCTTTATCTGATTAGTAACGTGTAATATATCGTATTTTTTTTTGCTTTAGTTCCTTCATTATTCATGTACCAGAAATCCGCAACTCACTTTTCTTGAGAATCCATATTAGAAAATAACTAATTTCAATGATCTAGAAGAAAATCATTGGCATTTTATATAGTGGGAAATATCACTTAGATAAGGGTTTGCTTGAAATAGCTTCTACAGTCTCCTAAATTCAACTAAAAAATTGCCATTAAAGTTTGTTTTAACAGGATTGCTTATAATATATAAAAAAAATTTAGTTTTAATAAATCCATAAATAGGGTTCCTGCCTCAGAATACTGATGAATATCACAATGCTATAAAGCAAATAGCATACTATGACGAGTGGAAACATCACAGAGGTAACTTTATCATCTTCATCTAATTTACGTTCATAAAAAGTTTGAAAAACCCAGTTGGGGGGGCGGGGGGGGGGGGTAATGCTTTAATTGACAAACTTAAACCTTAGTCAATTAATTTCACTATTTGCGAAACCGTTCTAATTTATTTAATTAAACCTAGAAATAATTATAGTTAAATGGTTATTTTTATATCCTTAACATATTTTACTGGCTGCAAAATCCAGTCTAAAACGAAGAGGTTTTCAAAAAACTAATTTAGTTATAAATATAAAAAAGAAGTTTAAAAACAATTTGTACATTTTACCTTTTTCCCAGGACCAGACATAATGCGGCTTTGTCACACCTGTCGGTCAGTTCGACCTCTTAGAGCTAAACACTGTAGAGTTTGTGATAGGTAACAGGTTTTAATAGTTTTCACAAATGATCGAGGACTTCAGAGCATTCTTTCTCACTGCCGTTTTTTGGATTATGCACAAACGCTCCAATATGTTAAAATCTTTGTTTGCATCTATAGCCAAAACAAGAATTAGAAATAACTTTTTACTTTTTCTGAAATGTCTTTTTTGGTAATATCCTAATATACGATATTGGTAAATAAAATATAGGCTAGGGACTTTTCTACCAGTGTTTCTAGATATTTTGTAAATAATACTTTTCTACCAGTGTTTCTAGATATTTGGTAAATAATACTTTTCTACCAGTGTTTCAATATTTTTATCAAGACTTAATATTTTTATGTAGAATATATAATTATTTGATCAAGAATATTTATTTGATCAATAATATATATATTAATCTAGGTGTGTAGCACAGTTTGATCATCATTGCCCTTATATTTCAAATTGTGTTGGTTTGAGAAATAGGTAAACATGTTCTCTCATCCTCTTATATATTCTTCCAATCCTTATGCATACCAAATACAAATTTTTTGTTATATCACATCCTAATCATACATCTACATGAAATTGTAGAATGTTATAAAACAATTATATGTAAATACAAATTCATGAAAAATATATTTTAATCAATCACTAAAATGAAAAATAGTTTGAAGCTACAATATCAAAATTTCTGTAATGCAGTGCACTTTTCATCTCTCCCTTAATTTAATACTTCTAGATTTAGAGGCATTACTAATCCCTCCTTAGTTTTACACTCCTTGATTTAGAGGAACCATCATCTCTCCTTTGTTTTACTACTCCTTGATTTAGAGGTTGGTTTCTATTGTTTACGCTCTCTGTGGCCATCAACTGCTCTATCACAATATTCTTCGCTTGCTTCTGTATATCCGTGGAGGTAAGGGGGGTATATCTGTGGAGGTAAGGGNAGGGTTGGAAGCTACTGTATATTATTGGTCTGATTGAAGCTTTAATATTCTGTATTTAGGGTTGGAAGCTACTGTATATTATTGGTCTGATTGAAGCTTTAATATTCTGTATTTAGGGTTGGAAGCTACTGTATATTATTGGTCTGATTGAAGCTTTAATATTCTGTATTTAGGGTTGGAAGCTACTGTATATTATTGGTCTGATTGAAGCTTTAATATTCTGTATTTAGGGTTGGAAGCTACTGTATATTATTGGTCTGATTGAAGCTTTAATATTCTGTATTTAGGGTTGGAAGCTACTGTATATTATTGGTCTGATTGAAGCTTTAATATTCTGTATTTAGGGTTGGAAGCTACTGTATATTATTGGTCTGATTGAAGCTTTAATATTCTGTATTTAGGGTTGGAAGCTACTGTATATTATTGGTCTGATTGAAGCTTTAATATTCTGTATTTAGGGTTGGAAGCTACTGTATATTATTGGTCTGATTGAAGCTTTAATATTCTGTATTTAGGGTTGGAAGCTACTGTATATTATTGGTCTGATTGAAGCTTTAATATTCTGTATTTAGGGTTGGAAGCTACTGTATATTATTGGTCTGATTGAAGCTTTAATATTCTGTATTTAGGGTTGGAAGCTACTGTATATTATTGGTCTGATTGAAGCTTTAATATTCTGTATTTAGGGTTGGAAGCTACTGTATATTATTGGTCTGATTGAAGCTTTAATATTCTGTATTTAGGGTTGGAAGCTACTGTATATTATTGGTCTGATTGAAGCTTTAATATTCTGTATTTAGGGTTGGAAGCTACTGTATATTATTGGTCTGATTGAAGCTTTAATATTCTGTATTTAGGGTTGGAAGCTACTGTATATTATTGGTCTGATTGAAGCTTTAATATTCTGTATTTAGGGTTGGAAGCTACTGTATATTATTGGTCTGATTGAAGCTTTAATATTCTGTATTTAGGGTTGGAAGCTACTGTATATTATTGGTCTGATTGAAGCTTTAATATTCTGTATTTAGGGTTGGAAGCTACTGTATATTATTGGTCTGATTGAAGCTTTAATATTCTGTATTTAGGGTTGGAAGCTACTGTATATTATTGGTCTGATTGAAGCTTTAATATTCTGTATTTAGGGTTGGAAGCTACTGTATATTATTGGTCTGATTGAAGCTTTAATATTCTGTATTTAGGGTTGGAAGCTACTGTATATTATTGGTCTGATTGAAGCTTTAATATTCTGTATTTAGGGTTGGAAGCTACTGTATATTATTGGTCTGATTGAAGCTTTAATATTCTGCGGACTGGGATGGCTTCTCTCCGGATTCACGGTAATTTTTTTTGTCCACTTTTTTTAGTTTTTACTAAATCTAAATATATGAATTAAAAATGTGAATTACTTTATATTCCTCAGACCAAGTTATTTTTCTTCCTAATAGCGACTGGATTTTAAGCATTAATGTTATGTGATACAATTCATTATGTTAAATTTTTTTTTATTTTGAACAATTGAACTGATGTGGCTACAAGGGATATAAAATACTTTATTTGCCTAAAAAGGAAAATAATATTATTTCATAATTCGAGCTCCTAACTGTTTTGTAAATGTTTAGCTTTTGTATGCTGCAATGAACCTAACTTCGAACGAGATGTTTCATTACAAACGTTACAACTATCTCAAAAATTCAAGAGGTAAAACAATATATTTAAAATATATCATGGTAGAATACAAAAATACCAGTTCGCTCAGCAAAATAGATTTTTCTTTGAAAATAAGTTGAAAATTAAATATTTTAATTATTTTAATTAATTCAGGTAAATACCATAATCCGTTCTCCAGGGGTGTTTTCTACAATCTAGCAGAGTTCTTCCTGTGTGTACAGCCAGCTGATCAGGAGCTGATTAATCTTAGAGATCTTTAACTATACAACCAGCTGATCAGGAGCTGATTAATCTTTAATATATGTACATCAGCTAGCTAGCTATTAATGGCAAAAAAGTTGTATATGCAAATGTTATCTCTAAAAGATAGAACTACCAGAGAACCATCCAACCATATTGTATACTTACTAATCTTGTAATTGTATACTTGCTAATTGAAACAAAAGCAGGCAAAAATGGATCTTCCAAACGGTTAAGATAAAATGAGAAAATGATTTTATTTAGACAAACAGTTTTCTTTTCTTATCAACGGACAATTACTAAATCGGGATAATTGAAAAAATTGATATTGATTAGCTTTAACATCCAACAAGAGGAAAATATTCACAGTATTAGATATATTGCATAATAGCTTAAGTTCACGACATGGCCTGTGGAATTTTGAAAACAATTTGAAGAAAAATCTCATTTTGAAAAAAAATCTAATTTTCCTCACAACATTTCAGCCTATGAGGACTAGGTCCAGTCGTTTGATCAGCTATATAGCTAACAAATGAAATATATGAGCAAAGAGCTTTTTCATTTCATATTAAACATTATGTGTGCATTGTAAGCGCATTAAAGTTTTATAATTCCATGCTTTTGTATTCGATTAAGAAGTTATAAACACTGATATAAGCCTTTCAAGCACAGTGGTTAACAAAATATAATGGAAAACGACCAAAAATCTTAAACTTTTCTTAAGAAGATAAAATTTAAACATTGCACAATTGTCATGTACAACATTTTATTTTAAAAATTGTAGTCGTATTCTTTAATATTTTGAAGTCCACTTAAAAAAACTCAATTTTTGCACAAGAACAAGAAACACTGAGGAATTATGCGCTAACGTTTCAATCTTGAAAATTAATTTTGTCAGACTTGGATTATTCTTAAATTAAAATTTGTTCATTAATATGTAACATGCGTAATGCATCATGCTCAATTTATGATTATAAGAACCATTCATGCTTACAACGCGTAAATGTAAAATTAACTTTTTGTGCAACCTATTTGTTATTACATAATTTCAAACGAGTAAGTTATCAATATATATATAATAATGAACACAGCTTGTGATAAATATTAAATGCACTGCAATGAATAAATATAATAAATAATATAATAAATAATAATAAATATGTAAATTAAAGACCTTAAAATGTATTAATAAATCATCAAACTCTTTTGTTGGAATTTTTAAATTTACTTTAAGTAATATTCAACAAAAATCAAAAAAATATATTTTCTGTTCGAAACCAGAAACTATGGAATTGAAAAAGACTTTTAACCATGAACTGAAAGGAGGTGGATACAAAAATGTATTTCCACTTAAAGGGAGTGTTCGCGAAAAATTAAAGGGGGTATAGGCTTAATGCGATAAAAAAGCGTTTTGATCGCTAATAATCTTACTTCTATCTTTTGCGTCTATAAGGAGAAAATTGTTAAAGACGTCTCATACCGAATAACTTAGCGCCCATACAAATCCAGAAAATTGCAACATACAACTTAGACCGTAAAAAATCAATTTTATTTCAAACAAATGATTTGTTTGGAATCCTTTTCTCTTTTAAATTGTTAAATTGTTCTTAACTGTTTAAGGGAAATATTTGACGTATTGTTTAGGTTTGATACTATTTCTGTGGATCCGTTAGTTACTGTCCGATTCACAATGGTAACCTGAAAATCTCTGTTTTGTCCAGAAAGAAAGTGATATCTATTTTTGCATCTTAACATATTTACTATTTTTACTTTACAAAAGTGACTTAAGCATTTCTCATTCAGGAATAATTAAAATGAATTAACTTAATTAAACACTTTTAAAAAACATCTCTTTCATCTCCAGACACAAGTAGTATAAAGATGTAAAAATTAAAGGGTTACCCTCAATGTATGAGAAAAATTAGTGACGTTTTTCTCACATTTTACACGATCTAATTTACTGTAGTAATTAAAGCATGGTTACTCATACAAAACTCCTTGCCCCTTTCTCTGAGTCATTCCAGAATATACAACCTGGAGATTGAGTTAGTTTAGTGCACCCAGGAACCTTGAATAGTAAAGACGTATAAGCTAAACTTAGTATATCCATCAAGGCCTTGGGACATGCACTTTTAGACATCTATCAGACTGATGTATCTTTACCATACCTGTCAGAGAACAAAGGAGGACACCAGCCTCCTCCATCATTATACATAAATATGCATCCTCGGAATCCTCAGCATCACCGAGGATATCAGATGCTGCCCTATCCTGATCTTGCTGGTGATCTGGATCAGCTATACTAAACCAGACAGTCCCACTACAACGAGCCAGTCCAACTACACACCAGCCAATACAACTACAGACCAGCCAGTCCCACTACACACAAGTCAGTCCAACTACACACCAGCAAGTCCAACTACACACAAGCCAGTTCAACTACACACCAGCCAGTCCCACTACACACCAGCCAGTCCCACTACACACCAGTAAGTCAAACTACAGACCAGCCCGTCCAACTACACACCAGCCAGTTCCTCTACACACCAGCCAGTCCAACTACANACCAGCCAGTCCCACTACACACCAGCCAATCCAACTACACACCAGCCAGTTCCACTACACACCAGCCAGTCCCACTACAAACCAGCCAGTCCCACTACACACCAGCCAGTCCAACTACACACCAGCCAGTTCAACTACACACCAGTCAGTCCAACTACACACCAGCCAGTTCCTCTACACACCAGCCAGTCCAACTACACACCAGCCAGTCCAACTACACACTAGTCATTCCCACTACACACCAGCCAGTCCCACTACACACCAGCCAGTCCCACTACACACCAGTAAGTCCAACTACACACCAGCCAGTTCCTCTACACACCAGCCAGTCCCACTACACACCAGCCAGTCCAACTACACACCAGCCAGTCCCACTACACACCAGCCAGTCCCACTACACACCAGCCAGTCCCACTACTGCACACCAGCCAGTCCAACTACAGACCAGCCAGTCCCACTACACACCAGCCAGTCCAACTACACACCAGCCAGTCCCACTACACACCAGCCAGTCAAACTACAGACCAGCCATTCCCACTACACACCAGCCAGTCCAACTACACACCAGCCAGTCCCACTACACACCAGCCAGTCCCACTACACACCAGCCAGTCCCACTACACACCACACCAGCAAGTCAAACTACAGACCAGCCATTCCCACTACACACCAGCCAGTCCAACTACAGACCAGCCAGTCCAACTACACACCAGCCAGTCCAACTACACACCAGCAAGTCCAACTACACACCAGCCAGACCAACTACAGAACTAGGCACACAAAAGGAGTAGACTAATCCAGGATATAGAGGAGAATTGGTATGTCCAGAATAAAGCAGCAGATGAACAAGATATTCTTGAGGTAGAAGACGCTACTCTTTACAGATCTGTTGTAGAAGCAGCTGAGGAGCCAGATAATCTTGGTATAGGAGAAGCTGCTCTTTACAGACAGCTTTTCACAGATCTGTTATAGAAACAGCTGAAGAACAAGATAATCTTGAGCAACTGACAAGAACAAAATTCCAAAAAATGCATTTTAAATTTCCGTCATTTATGCCCCCTGCTTGTCTTTTACTTAAATAATTGTATTTTCTGCAAATGTTTTTAATATTGAAGTATGAAAGATCTAATAAAGAGAATAGGAAGGATTGTGTAAATAAGAACTAATAGAGAGTAAGAAAAATTGTGTAAATGTTTCTAATATTGAAATATAAAGGATCTAATAGAGAGAATAGGAAGGATTGTGTAAATAAGAACTAATAGAGAGTAAGAAAAATTGTGTAAATGTTTCTAATATTGAAATATAAAGGATCTAATAGAGAGAATAGGAAGGATTGTGTAAATAAGAACTGATAGAGAGTAAGAAGGATTGTTTAAATATTTCTAATATTGAAATATGAAGGATCTAATAGAGAGTAAGAAGGATTGTGTAAATGTTTCTGATATTGAAACATGAAGGATCTACTGTAGTTTAATAAAGATTGTGGTTTCTGTAAATGTTTCTAATATTGAAATATGAAGAATCTACTGGAGTTTAAGAAGGATTGCGGTTTCTGTAAATGTTTCTTATATTGAAATATGAAGGATCTACTGAAGTTTAATAAAGATTGTGGTTTCTGTAAATGTCTCTAATATTGAAATATAAAGGATCTACTGGAGAAATAAGAAGGATTGAGTAAATGTTTCTAATATTGAAATATGAAGGATATACTGGAGTTTAATAAAGATTGTGGTTTCTGTAAATGTTTCTAATATTGAAATATGAAGGATCTACTGGAGAATAAGAAAGGTAAAGAGGGATAGTAACCTAACCTTGCATTTTGGTCATGAAACACGGGGAATAAACAAACTGCCAAACTTATCCGGGATGAATATACTTTATCGCCCGCAAACAGGGTAAAATAAGTTTACATCCCGCAAAATAAGAAACTATTTCTCTAGTGAAGAAAATATTTTTAGGCATAATATGTCTGCAAGGTATTAAAGGGGTATCCTCTTAAAGTTTAGTTGGAAGGGGTATGCTGCTACTATAAATGCGTTTTTATTAAATTGAAAGATCCGCAAATAAAGGATCAAAATATCTTTTATAATCTATAAATTTAAAATAGGCAAAAATAATTTCCCCTTCTTTGTGAATTGTTTTGTTTATTCTAAGTTTTCTTGTTGCTTGCAGTAATCATTAGGACCTCAGGACACTTTAACCAATGGAAGTATACAACTCTAGAAAACTGATTACTCGCCTAAACCTCTAATTTTCTAATTTCTATATATATCTGTAACTGGATAATGTAAGCTCTGAATTTTTAAACTTTGATTATTAGATCTAACCAAAGATAGGGGATATAGTAGAATTCATGATTTTAAATATTCTCACAAATAAAAAGATTTGTTTTTATCGATGAGTTAAATTTTCAAGGAAACTTAATTCAAGTTTTTCACTTCTTGCTATCTATGAATTTTCTCAATTATTGTTTTAAGATGCATTATTTGGGATATTTTGCAAAAGTAACCACTTAGAATTTTGCAATCTAGGATGTGCACTGTTTTGTGTTCACCACTGTATAGTATTTAGTTCTAGAAAAATAGAATGAAAGAGTTAAGTGTTCACGTAGTTCTCCTTCTGCTCCTACAGCTAGCAGGCAGACGGTTCACTCAACACAATAAAACACAAAGGAATTGAGTCTTTGCAACAAACTCTAATCTGATATATATTTGCAACAAACTCTATCTAATATATATTTGCAACAAACTCTAATCTAATATATATTTGCAACAAAATCTAATCTAATATATCTTTGCAACAAACTCTTATTTAATATATATTTGAAACAAACTCTAATCTAATATATATATTTGCAACAAACTCTAATCTAATATATCTTTGCAACAAACTCTAATCTAATATATCTTTGCAACAAACTCTAATCTAATATATATTTGCAACAAACTCTAATCTGATATATCTCTGCAACAAACTCTAATCTAATATATATTTGCAACAAACTCTAATCTGATATATAATGCAACAAACTCTTATTTAATATATATTTGAAACAAACTATAATCTGATATATAATGCAACAAACTCTAATCTAATATATCTTTGCAACAAACTCTAATCTAATATATATTTGCAACAAACTCTAATCTAATATATATTTGCAACAAACTCGAATCTAATATATATTTGAAACAAACTCTAATCTAATATATATTTGAAACAAACTCTAATCTAATATATCTTTGCAACAAACTCTAATCTTATATATATTTGCAACAAACTCTAATGTAATATATTTTTGCAACAAACCCTAATCTAATATATCTTTGCAACAAACTCTAATCTAATACATATTTGCAACAAACTCTAATCTAATATATATTTGCAACAAACTCTAATCTAATATATACTTTGCAACAAACTCTAATCTTATATATCTTTGCAACAAACTCTAATGTAATATATTTTTGCAACAATCCCTAATCTAATATATCTTTGCAACAAACTCTAATCTAATACATATTTGCAACAAACTCTAATCTAATATATATTTGCAACAAACTCTAATCTAATATATAATGCAACAAACTCTAATCTAATATATATTTGCAACAAACTCTAATCTAATATATATTTGCAAAATTGCAATTCGATGTTGTTGAGCTTAGATAACTCAAACTAATGGATTCTATTACATCAAATAATTAAAGTTTGAAATATTAAAGATTAACATTATCAGGTTGCACAGATTTCGGAACTAAAAAATTAGCAAAGGCTCAATTATCACTATTTATAAAACCGTGTCGAAGATAAATCTGGGTTTGAATTGCATTTTTAATGTCAGTAAAGTCAAATCAAGTCAAATTCTCTAATTTCTTGAGTGGGTTTCATAAAACTGTGGAATAGGAATACGACAATCATATGTGTTGTAGGTGTTATATGAAGCAATTAAGCTTACAAGTCTACTTTTTTATTGAATTAAGTCTGTTAACACTGTAAATAACAAAATTGCTCTGTTTCATGTTGCAAAGACTAGTTTGAATAAAAAAGTTGTATCTCTATTCCACAGATTTATAGATCTCATTGAACACATACTGAAACTTTAAATAGAATGAAAATTATACCTGACTGATTTAGATGCAAATTATGGTTTCAGGATTTTATCATACTTATTGGTGTAAACTTTTGACATCAAACTAATATTATTTGATTTATCAGAATTCATAGTTTGAAATGTCTCAGGTCTAAGATGTTGGGTTACAAAGATATTAGTTTGTGGCAAAGACTTAATTTCTTTATCCTTGAATTGAACCTCTTCTCCCTTGAAGGAGATGTTGAAAGTAACCCTGGACCTCCTAAGAAAGGAGCACAAGCTCCTGGGAAAACGAAGGAGCCGACAAAGGAAGAGCAAATGAAGAGTCTTCAGGATAAGGTACAGGGGGGAGTAAACAGATCAAGTGTATTCAGGATAAGGTACAGGGGGGAGTAAACAGATAAAGTGTATTCAGGATAAGGTACAGGGGGAGTAAACAGATAAAGTTTATTCAGGATAAGGTACAGGGGGGAGTAAACAGATAAAGTGTATTCAGGATAAGGTACAGGGGGAGTAAACAGATAAAGTGTATTCAGGATAAGGTACAGGGGGGAGTAAACAGATAAAGTGTATTCCGGATAAGGTACAGGGGGAGTAAACAGATAAAGTGCATTCAGGATAAGGTACAGGGGGGATAAACAGATAAAGTGTATTTAGGATAACGTACAGGGGGGAGTAAACAGATAAAGTGTATTCAGGATAAGGTACAGGGGGGATAAACAGATAAAGTGTATTCAGGATAAGGTACAGGGGGGATAAACAGATAAAGTGTTTATTAAAAGCAGATGAAAAAATCTTAAAGCGAAAGATTTAGATTATTCATTAAGGAACTTGAAAAAAAACTATTTTTTTACTGAACAAAAGAATTTATCAAAAGATTTTGAAAAAACGATAGTTTTTTTACTGAACAAACGGTGGTTTCGAACAAATTTTTATAAAACAATCTTTTTTAATGAACTACCCGCATAGAACAAACGACCCTGTTTTAGAGTCTGAAAACGACCCGCACGACCCCAAAAACGGGCGCCGGCCCGACTCTGTTTTAGTACTAATAAAAGAGGCGTTTTTAGACCGAAAAGACCCTGAATCCGTCTCTCCTCAAAACGGATGGGTGTCGGTTTACTTCACGGCAGGGGGCCATTATCTCCCTCAAGATTTATTACTTTGGCGCCATATGTCTACATCTGCAAGCTG